GGGGTGGTAAAATTACAGAAGAGTTTAATTTTCATGCTTACACTTCTCTGTCTTCTAAGTTTTCCACAATGAAAAAAGTTTCACTGGGTTTTTTTAAGTGTATACACACATTTCAATTCACCAGGCCTTTTCTACCCTCTTCCATTATTTTAGATCTTTTAAATTTCATTCTTTATCTGCAATTCTACAATTCTTTCAGCAACAGCTGGTCAGAATAGATGAGCAACTTTCCATAGCTAAATTAAAACTGTTCATCATATTCACAGGATGGGCTCTTAGAAAATATCTAGTTCTCTAGGTTAGTGTGACTTTAATCTGAAAGTAGACATGTGAAAGTAAATACAAATTTTTTAAACCCCACAGGATTAGATTCTAACTCTGCAGGATTTACGGGAATATGGTACAACTGTGTCTTGAGCCTGAATAAACCTCAACCGTACTTTAAGTCTGGGCCTCCATATGCTGTCCCAGTCGTTGGAATGGGGTTTTACAGAAGACAGCGCACACCAACACTGTCGCTGTGAAGGCACCAAGAAAATGAGGAGCAGCAGCCTGTAGGGAGAGAACCTCATTCCATCCACAATTCTCGGTGTTCCCAGGCACGGCCCCTGACTTGCATCTATTATTTAAACTGTACAATGCGTCTCAGTCAAAACCCTGGAAACCCAATCACCCCGACGTGAGCGCGCGCGCGCTATCCTGCAGCTCGTCCGGCCAGACCCCGCGACCCCGAAACTCCGCTGCAGGGACGCCCCGGGAGCGTGAACCGTGAGCCCCTGAGCTGGCACTTGCCACAACCGGCCTCCACTAGGCTTCGCGCCACTCCCAAGGCTCTGAAGCCCCACAGCCCCATCCTGACTCCCCAGCCCTGAATTCCGGCCTCACCACGTCTCTTCCAGCACTCAGCCTCCACCCCTCTCCTCCAGCCCCAGACCACTCTCCTCCCAGATCTGCGCTCTCCGCAGCCTGCGACCGCCGTGCCCCAACACCCACCTCCTCCCGCTCCCCAACAGCTCCGCGCCCACCACCCGGGTCGCCCGGAACAGCCAACACGGGAGGCGCCCGGGAGCGAAGGGCGGCGGGCTGGGAGGAGCCTCTGGAGGCGTCTCGCGCTGCTAGCAGCGGGGCTCTGAGCCGCGGAGAAGCGAGGGGACCTAGGCTCCCCCAACTCACCCGCTGTCGCGGGGCTCCACGTCTTCGGGGGCGGGCCCGGGAGCGGGCGAGACGCGGAGGCCGGGCGAGCGGACGCTCGGCGTGGGGCCGGGCCTGAGGGCGGACGCGGCCGAGCGCTGGGCGTGGCGGGCGTGGCGGGGCCTAGTCGCGGTAACGCGCAGGCGGAGGCGGCGCGCGGGGGGGGCGGGGCTTCACTGAAGAGTCGCACCCAGGGGGCGGGGCCGCGGCAGGAGGGCGGGGCGCGGCGGGAGGGCGGGCCGGGACTGTCGAGAGAAACTAAAGGCAGGTCTAACTGGGCTGTCGCCGGAACCGGAGCCCAGACTCTCCCAGGAAGGAGAGTCGTGCCTGGGGCAATGTTGCACCACATGGGGCGGGCCGCGGTGGGAGAGCGGGCCTGGGCTGGTCTGTCACTCCGAGCGGGGGTGGGACCTAGCTGGGGTTTCCAACCGAGCCGGAGAAAGCACCTGCGCCTTCACATTTCCCTCTTTCCATCTTTTAATAACCAGAATCCAATTTTCTGGTCACTTTGGGTTAAGAACAAGTCTCATTTTAATTGTAGCTTACTTCAAGTGGTGAAAACCCCAGATCCAATTTGTGATTAAAACCCCACGTCCAACTAAAGCCAAATCCCTTACAGTGGTCTATAGGGTTTCCCAGCCCTGCCTCTCCTTACCTCTTAAAAATCCTCTTTTACTCTCCCATTTGCTCTGCTCCAGCCACATTGGACTCTTTGCTCTTCCTAGAACTCGCCAGAAATCCGCTCACATCCCACCTCGGGGTCTTTGCCCTAAGTGTTCCCTCTACCTAGAAAGTTCCTCTCTGTGAGCTATTTGGTTCACTGCCTTGCCTCCCTCAAGTCTTAGCTGGAATCTGCCTTTCTCCCTGAGGCCCTTTCTAACCATCCTATTTAATACTTGCTCTCCTCCCTACCCCACCACTCCCTTCCCTGCTGTCCCATTACTTCTTTCCAGGGCATTCATCACCGTTTTGTTAATTTTTATATTTAATTATATGAGTACATAATAGTTATATATATTTATGGGGTACATGTGATGTTTTGATGCAGGCATAGAATGTGTAATATTCAAATCAGGGTAATTGGGGTATCCGCCACCTCAAGCATTTATCATTTCTTCGTGTTGGGAACATTCCAATTCCACTCTTTTATTTTAAAGTATATGATAATTTATAGTTGACTATTGTTATTGTTTTATATTACTATGTTTATCATCACTTTCTTTCCCTAGAAGGTAAGTCTCACAAGGGCAGGGATTTAGTACCTGTTTACCTGCACTTTGCCTAGTTTTCAGTTACCCAGGAGCAACCATGATCCAAAATAGGTGAGTACAGAACAATAAGATATTTTGAGAGAGAGAACACATTCACCCAACTTTTATTACAATATATTGTTATAATTGTTCCTTTTTATTAGTTATTGTCAATTTTTTACTATGCCTAATTTATAAATTAAATTTTATCATAGGTATGTGTGTATGCATGTATAGGGAAAAAACAGTACATACAGAATTCGGTACTGTCCTCGATTTCAGACATCCTCTGGGGTCTCTGAATGTATCCCTCACGGATAATGAAGGATGACTGTATCCACAATGCCTAGAACAGTGGTGGGTCCATAGTAGACAGGCAATAATTCTGGAATGGAAAAAAAAATGAATGAACTCTTTCTGCCTCCATACATCCAGCTCAGGCCAGACCTGAGCTGCCTTAACAGGCAGTGGGAGAAGGTTGGTCTACTCTTCACTCCCCTACCCCTTCTCTGGATCTTCCAGGTTCAAGGCAGGAGGTAGGGAGATTAGGAGAGAGGAGCAAAGACTAATTACTTGGTAGGAGCTGTTTGCTATTTTTTCTAGACCCCTGATGCTGTCACAGCAGCTCATGACATTACTGACCAGTTCTCACATAGCTGTTAGTAGATGTTGTGTGGATGTGCCAGAGGTCTCTCCTGAAAATCAGGATGAATTGTTCATGAACTTCAGTAGGTTTAGACATTAATTACGCATTAGACTTTTGTTTTTAAATTGTACTCTTCCTGTATTCTCATCCCTTGAACTTACGATCATCTCTTCATATAACTTCATTTTCTAATATTTATTAACATATGGCTGGAAGAATTAGAAGAAATTTTTGAATGAAAATATAAAAAATTCCCTTTTACTTGGATAATCTTAGTTCATCTCCAAAGTTCACAAATTAAAATTTTCTGTTAAGTACAAAAAATTAATTGTTGGGCAACACAAATAGTAGACCTAAGTTAATGACACAGATCCCCACACAGTAGTAACCCTTACCCACAGAAGATACGTTTCAATACCTCCAGGGGATTCCTGAAACCTTAGATAGTTCTGAACTCTCAAAACAGTGCCCAATTTAAAACTTACGAATTGTTTGTTTCTGGAATTTTCCATTTAATATTTTCAGACTGTGGTTGACTGCAGGTAACTGAAACTATGGAACGTGAAACCGTGGATAAGGGGGACTATTGTATCAGTTACCTGTTACTGCATAACAGACCACCACACAGAATTAGGGATTCCTTTTTCTATCTTTTTCCTGTTGGAGATCTCCTCCATGCTCTCTCAGGCTCCTAGGAGCGCCTTTTCCCGGTTCCTCTGTCTAGGACAGGTTTTCTCTCAGGGTTTTAGGTGTTGAGGTCACCTGTACCACAACAGTGCAACTCCCTAACTGGGGCTGGCCTCAGGGCAGGAGAGGGAGAGAAAAGAGCAATCAGAGGAGTTTCCACCACTTTCTCTAGCTTGTGACAGCCTTTTTTCCTGGTCCTATAGCTATACAGCCAGGCTTTTCTTGGACTTTTTGCTGATAGTATCTGGTTAGCAGTTCTCAATTTGTTCTGTCTTCAGATCAAAGCAAGAGGTACAGGAGAAAAAAACAAAAACAGGAATCTCACCACTCCTATATTGGTCTTTATTCAAGTTTTGAGTTTCCTGCCTAATCCACCTGCTACTATTTACTTTTCAGAGTCCTTGGGTAGTTTTTTATATATTGTCCAGAGGTTTCAGTAGTAATCAGTGGGTGACAGAGGCTGCAGTGGACTTACTCTATTTGGGCCAAAAATGGAACTCATCAATCTGATAGATGAAAAAATGTTTCAGTTTGCATTTCTATTGTTATGAGTAAGGATGAGAGCATCTTCTCAGGTTAAAGAGACATTTCTCTTTCATTTCTGTGAATTTTACCTATTTATATATTTTTTCCAATTTTCTACTAAATGTAGAAACTATGTAAAAGTAAAAATAGTCCTTTTTCTTAAATGTGAATGTCAAATTTTTCTCAATTTACCATGACTTTTAACTTTCTTATGTTACTTTGTTTGTTTGCCTGGTTTTGGTTTTGTTTCTTGGCCATGCAGACATTTCTGTAACAACAGGTCAATTTTACCAAATTTCTTTCACTACTTACTACTTCTGAGTTGTATTATACTTAGAAAGGCCTTCACCTCTCTGAGATTACTTTGAAAATATTTCCATAGTTTCTTTTTTACATCTCACAGTTTTACTTTTTTTCTTTTAAAATTTGACCTATCAGGAATTTATTTTGATATGAAGTAAGTGGAATGGATCCAACTTTACTTTCTGAACCATCTTTAATAATTAATAACCCATCTTTCCCCTACTGATTTTAAATGCCATTATCATACACTGAATTTCCTTTCTATATTGAAGAACCTTCTGTTCTATTAATCTGTTGGTTTATCTATGTACTACAATCATAAGATTTTAATTTTTGAATCTTTATATACATCATTCTCTTGCTTTAAACTCTCCAGTACAGTTAAAATCTCAACCTACCTGACATGACAGTTCTTGTGTCCCTCATTCTCATCATAACCATCTATTGAAGGCCAGGCATGGTGGCTCACACCTGTAATCCTAGCAATCTGGGAGGCTGAGGTGACAGGATTGCTTGAGACCAGGAGTTCAAGACTAGCCTGAGCAAGAGTGAGACCCCATCTCTACAAAAAAATAAGAAAAATTAGCTGGGTGTGGTGGCATGGCACCTATAATCCCAGCTACTCAGGAGGCTTAGGCAGGAGAATTGCTCAAGCCCAGGAGTTTGAGGTTACAGTGGGCTATGATGACACTACTGCACTCTAGCCTAGGCGATAGAGTGAGACTGTCTCAAAAAAACAAACAAACAAACAAACAAAAAACCCCAACCATCCATTGTAGCAGCCACTGAAAACTCGCCTTTAGTAAACTGTTCATTCCAGGTGACCACAGGTGATAATTTACATATCTTTTCCCACTGCATGCCTAGATTCATAGTACGCCATTTCCACTGGTGGCAAGGCCACCACTGTCTTCAAACCCAGCCATTCGGACCTATCCCAGATTCCCAGCTTGAGGGGCGCTTCCTTCAACCACTTCCAATATCAAATACATCAGTCAAATCTCAGTGCAGAAAACAGAAATCACTTTATCTATTTTACAAAGGAAGAGATTTAATAAAGAGAATGAAATCCTTACCACATCATTAGAAGGCCTGGAGAAGCAGTTCCAGGCTGGACATCGTGGAGTGAACCGCTGGGCTGGCCGACCAAGGGAGCTTCTGCTTCTGAGGAGGCTCTTGGAGCCATGCGGGGTCTGGAACCACAGCCACTGCCTGCATGTGGAGAATGGACATGTTAATTTGTGATCCTGGGATTTCAAAGCTGGATCAAGAAGATGCCACAACCACTACTGTTTCTCAGCACCCAGAAAGCTGGAGAATAAGGACTGAAACTTGTGGCAAAAAAAAAAGCCACAACCTTCCTATTTAAGGGGAGGACCAGGAGCCACAGGAGATGGTTTCCTGAACTCCGGCCTGATTTCAAGTGAGTACATCTAACCAGTGAGGCTGATGTTGTTCTTAAGCCTCCAACCTCTATACCTAGCACATCTTTTTTGTTGTTGTTCTTTTTAAGACAGAGTCTTACTCTGTCACCCATGCTAAAGTACCATGGCATCAGCCTCGCTCACAGTAACCTCAAACTCCCAGGCTCAAGCAATCCTCCTGCCTCAGCCTCCCCAGTAGGTGGGACTACAGGCATGCACCACGACATCTGGCTAATTTTTACTATTCTTAGTAGAGACAGGGCTCTTATACTTGCTCAGGTTGGTCTCAAACTCCTAAACACAAGCGATTCTCCCGCCTTAGCCTCCCAGAGTGCTAGGATTACGGGCATGAACCACCGTGCTTGGCCCCTAGCACATCTTTACATAAATGCTGCTCATTCTTATAAAGTTTATTCCTAGGTAATTTATCTTTCTCGTTGCTAGTGCAAATGAGACTGCTTCTTCCATTATATCTTCTAATTAGGTATTACCTGTATATATCAACATGAATACACATATATTAATTTTTTACTCAGAATAAAGTCTCTTATAATTTATACCAGTTGATTATTTTACTATTTCCAATTACAGTCATATAATATGAAAACAATTATAATTTTCCCTCCTTTCTTGTCTTGTTTCTGATATTAAGGAAGTGTTTCTGGTGTTTACTCAGCAAGGAGGAGGCTGCCTTTGGGTTTGAGATAAATATATTTTATCAGTAAGTAAGAATCCATCAATTCTTATTTTATTGAAAGTCTTTTACTTATCAAGATGATTGCTGAATTTTATTATATGCCTTCTCATCATCTATGGAGATAGCCATGTAATTTTTTTCTTAGTGATAGTTTTAATACGTTTCCTTATTTAGCATTTATTCTAAGAAAAATGGGGAGTCACCAGGGAATTCTGAGCAGATGAGTGACATTATCAGACTTATGTCTTAACAGAATCACTCAGGCTTCTGTGTTGAGAATACACAGCAGAGGCACAAGGATGGAAGCTGGCTATTGCAATCTTTGAGGCAAGAGATGTGTTGATTGTACCAAGGTGGTAACAGTAGAAGTGATAAGAAGCATTTGGATTCTAGAAATATTTGGAAGGTAGAGTTCTCAGGAATTGATGACATAGTGGATGTAAAGTATGAGAGAAAGAGAGAAGTCAAGTGATAGCTGAGGTAGGGATGACTACAGGAGAAACATGGTTTGGAGGAAAGTCAGCAGTCCTGTGTTGGATACTCTTCAGTATGAAATGCCTTTTGGAAATTTGAGTCAGTATATAGGCCTCTGGCATTCAGAGGTCAAAGCTGGAGATAGGAATTTGCAAGTTACCAGCACAAAGAGAATACCTGAAGCTGTGAGGCTGGATGAGCTCACCTGAGTTGTGAGTGCAGTTAGAGAAGAGGACCAAAGACTGAACCTTGGTCCTTAACTCCAATAGTAAGAAGTTGGCAGAAGAGGAGAAAATAGTAAAGAAGCTTGAGAAGAACTAGCCAATGAAATGGGAGTTAAACCAAGAGATGGAAGGGGGAAGGGGAGTGTCTCAGAAGCAAGTGAAAGACAGGAATTAAGGAGGAGTGGTGCCACATGTTGGTGCCAGGTCAAGCAAGAGAAGAACTGAGGACAGAAAATAATATGACAGCACTAGGATGAACATATTTGTCCTATCAATTATTGTAAATGTACTAAGATCACTTGTGAATAAACAAAAATGTTCAAACTGGATGAATTAAAACCCAGCTCTGTATTATATGTAAGAGACCTACCTAAAACAAATTAATTCAAAAAGTTTTAAAAATAAAAGGATGGGCAAAGACATACCAGGCAAATATAAACACAAATAAAACCAAAATGATGGTCTTAATAAAGTTAAATTCAGAGCAAAGAGCATTAAACAAGGCAAGGAAGGGAGGCTGGGTACGGTGGCTCACGCCTGTAATCCTAGCACTCTGGGAGGCCAAGGCGGGCAGATTGCTCGAAGTCAGGAGTTCAGGAGTTCGAAACCAGCCTGAGCAAGAGAGAGACCCAGTCTTTACTATATAAATAGAAAGAAATTAATTGGCCAACTAATATATATAGAAAAAATTAGCCAGGCATGGTGGCGCATGCCTATAGTCCCAGCTATTTGGGAGGCTGAGGCAGAAGGATTGCCTGAGCCCAGGAGTTTGAGGTTGCCGTGAGCTAGGCTGATGCCACGGCACTCACTCTAGCCTGGGCAACAAAGCGAGACTCTCAAAAAAAAAAAAAAAAAAAAAAGACAAGGAAGGGAAGTTTAAAATGCTAAGGTGTATGTAGAATTAGTAAAGTAATACTCATTAGATGACCAAATTTAAAATATGTTATATTAATGCACAGGATCATGCACCAGGAATGCCCCTGCTTCAGGCCTTTTGCACTGGCTTTTATCTCTGCCTGGAACACTCCCTCAGGGCACAGCTAACTCCTTCATTTCTTAGAGGACCTCTAAGACTTTGTTCAAAATGTTATTCTCTCAAGGAGTCCTACTGTGACCTTTGTATTTAAAATTAAAACCTACTTTCTCTAATCTTCCTAAACTCTGTTTTGTGTACTGTTTTCATTCCTGCCCTCCATGGTCCTTACTGAATTTTCTTTAGTGTCTGTTTTTCCAAGCACTGCTTCCAGTTTTTCCTTCATTTCTTTCACTTCTTTTTGAAATGCTACCAGCTCACATTTGATCCCCTATTGTCTCACTGTATCTTGCATATGCTACTTGCAAGAAGTATACGTTGGTAGTGTCCAGATTCCTGGCTGGAAGGAGTTTGACTCACGGCTCAGGATTGAGTGAGTAAATTGTTTTAGCCTTTACTTATCCCAAGCCAAAAATTAGGCAGCTCACGGTGCAGTCTTTTCTTCTCCCTGCTCACTGGCAGGCTGCTTCCTGCAAATGTATGGCTTATCTGCATCTTAATTCAGCCCTGCACCCTTTGCTTCTAGCTTCAGTCTCTGTGTACTGCTCCTCTCTACTGCTCCTCTCGTTAGGATTTGGCTTTGTTCACCCTCTTCCCCAAGCCCTTTATCTCGGTGTGTCCACCAGCCTCAACTGAGATCTGCAACCATAAGTGAGCTCTCTAAACTTCTGCCAGCACTCCTACTGACCCGTGCAGCTCTGGGAACCACTCTGGTTTTGAGTTTCTGGTGTCTCCTTGTTTTGTCAAAGATGAGGTTTGCTTTTCTGTTTCTCAGTGTCCTTATTACTTCTGGATGGTTTTTAAGATAAAGGAGAAATGCTTTTATTACTTACTCTTCCCAAACCAGAGTCTCTCACTGATTTTCTATAAGTTAGGTTTTAATATTAGTAAAAGCTGAAGCAGGAATTCCAGTTATTTAAAAGTTTTCAGACTTGTTTTCATCACTAAACATAGTGATGCTTCCCACCCCACCCCCCTTTGCAAGGCACGTTTAAAAAATTCTCATTATATGAGAGGGACTCACTAGATAGCCTCTACCTCCCTTTCAGCTTAAAAATTCCATGATTCTACGTGATACATCCAACACACTACAATTAATGTAGAGAACCCATTATTTCCTATGGCAAAAAAAAAAAAAAAACACAGTGCTTATAAAGAAAAAGGTTGCAAAATTGTAACTGTCTCCTTTGAATATGATACAGAGTTCAGTGGTTAAGAAACACATTTTAGGTTAAATTGACTACGCTGGTTATATTGTTTGTCCATCCACACCCACAGTCTACCCTTCTCCATCCTCTGTGCCCTGGGAGGCTGACCTTTTTGGACTACACCAGTGGGCTTCCTTGTCCTCTGGTCCCTGATTGGGTTCAGTTAATGGGGACATTGGCAAGAGACCAGAGGGAGGGAAGAGAGTAAGGTCAGAGTATTTGTTCCTTGGCTGTCTCTGTGCCTGAGTCATGGCAAGTTGCCTGTGTCCATGGACGGAAGGCCACAGCTCCAGTCAGGCAGCTCTCCCCATACAACTGAGTAACTGCTCTGTCCTTGACCTTCAGGCCTGCAATGGTAATGACTCTCAATTATTACCAGCTTCAGGGTGCTGCACCAGCCCTTGTGGTTTCCCCAAACTTTGCTCATACCTTAGTGAATAGTC